AATAGGAAGAGTATGTATGGACATTCGACAACAGGGATTAGATACATGCTTGGTTGTTTAAATTGTTCTTCTATGCTTAATGGGTTCCTAATGCTTAGTTTTAGGTTAGACAACAAATGATCAAATTAGGGAATTAGGAACACAAGGTTATGACCAAACACCATGGCTTAATCATACTTTAGCTAGAATCAATCCGTTAATCTAATTGAACTTGGGAACTTATTTGCTTGAGTTATTTCATTCTTTCTTGTTTTATTTATTTTCATTTTTCATTTCTATTTTGTGTAGGGGAAACAAATTGGATCATTCAATCACCAATCCTCGTGGGATCGACCTCACACTTACATATGCTATACTACCAAACGGCTCGTGCACTTGCGAGTATCACAAGTTGAGGATGCAGTTGAAACCATTTTGGTGCAGCTGAATCGAAGCAACAGAGTTCATTGGTTACTTACTTCACTTACGGGACTTTGTTGTTGCAGATAGGGAAGAACTAAAAAATTCTAGCTTACTATGCATCAACTTGACAAACATGCATCAGAGAATTAAGCGTTTAATTACTATAATCTTTTGAGAATGCATAGAGTTGAAGTTGATGGGTGGCTTTTGCTGGTTTAATGATATATTGATATTGAAATGAAACAGACTAAACTCATGTAAGCATAATCATGCGACTTGTAGAATGCTTGAGATGAGAGTACATGTATTTTGAAGCTGCAATCCAACTTGTACACTTTCTACACAAGACTTCTAAAGTGCCCTGCTGGTCCCAAGCTCAAAATCAACTGCTATGTTGCCTAGATTGTTCAATATCACATGCGCATTTTCACATACTTTTCAGTGCACTGAATGAGAGGAAGCAACTGGTCAACTTTGAAAGGCATTCATGGCTGCTTTTTTTTGTTTTTTCTTTGCATCCTTTGCAAGTTTACTTCTAGCAGAAAAGTTTCTTATATCTATTCTAGCAGAAAAGTGTTTTCTTTGCATCCTTTGAAACCTTTGTTTGAATTAGTCTATTACTATGATATGCTTAGTAAGTTATAATGTGGTCCCTCCCTCCCCTGACTCAATTAAGCATGTATTTGTTTTTTGTTTTTTGTCTTGTTGCCATATCTGCTGTTCCATGTGGATTTATTAGTCTAGACAAAGAGAAGCACAAAAGAAAATGGTTGATTAACAGGGCATTGTTGCATTTATAGTAGTAATGGTGATCTCTTCATTTTGTCATTTATTCTCTGTTTGGATGTGGTCTCCAAATCCAAGCTAAGTCAAGTGGTCTCCAAGTCCATACTTCAGAAAAATGAAGGCATGAGGCACTACCACGGTTGGATGATCTTCAATTTTGGATATGTTATAAACAAAACGATTTCGAGCAAATTCCGTGAAGCAATCACAACCATCCGAGAATCACATATTAAAATCAAATGCAGAAACCGAGTCTGCAGAAACCCACCAGCCATGGCTGAACATAAAATCTGCAAACCTGTTTTGAGGCATCAGGAAAATTCAGAAAACTCTACAAATTTCACAGACTTTAGTTCTCAGGTAGACGAACAACTTTCATGAAGGAAGTTTTCTGATCGGAGCTTCCGAAATATGACTTCTGGATTTCTGAACAGTACCCTCGGTTTTGGGTCTTGAGGAAGAGTGAAGAAGCAGCAAATCACATGGGAAAGCTTGGAATGTTGGTATGGAATAGCAAGTGGAGCAAATTAAGGAGGAAATGCTAAAATGTTTGATTCAAATATGCTTTGGGTGGTTTTGGAATTATTTTATGGGAAGAGTCTAATTGGTTTGTGACATGTGTACCATAATATGTGTGAAAGAACTTTGGGTTCTTTCTTTAGCCGTTGGTGTTGTCCATTTTGAGAAAGAAACCTTTCTTTCTTTTTATTTGTTTATGTTTCAAGTGGATAGGTGCATGTCGACAACAAATGACTTCCAATGCAAATTGTTGGCTGCAAAGGTGGCCAAATAGTGGCTGCAAATTGGCCAAGTAGTGGCTGCAAAGTTGGCCAAATAGTGGCTGCAAAGATGGCCAAATTGCAGGCTGCAAAGGTGCTGGCTGCAAATTGTTGGCTGCGAAGTGTTGGCTGCAAATTGTTGGCTGCGAAGATGGCCAAATAGTGGCTGTAAAGTTGTCCAAATAGTTGGCTGCAAAGTGTTGGCTGCAAAGAGTTGGCTGGAGGCATTACAAAGAAAGTATAAGGACAAGGTGCGGCCAAGGTTGGATGTTTTTGAGAAGATGGGCCAAAAAGTTATTGTGTCCTATTATATATGTATAATAGGTGGATGACTGAGAAAAGCTTGGCTGGAGCATTTGGATGGTCTACCAATTTGGCTGGAAAGCTCTTTGTCTTAATATATATATGTATGTGAATGAGTGGATGCATGCAAGTTACGGCC